CAGATGAATACAATTAAATGGGGGCAAGGCTGACAACGAAAGCAATCATGATTATGTATATAGACTGTCGAATTTAAAGGCTAATGGATGGGTGACTTATTTGCCATATTTAATTCTAGAACTGTCTTCTTATAACTCCATGGTAATGACTTTCCCTTGAGATAAAACAAAAGCAGATAAAAGGGGAGCAGATGGAAAGTCTTATTGAAGACTATTTAAGTATGCTGGATCAAGGACGTCGTGTTTTTTTCTTCTTTTTTTTTTCTTTTAAGGTTTTATTCATAATCTTAGGATATAGATTTTTTTTCTTCATGAGGCAGAGCTTTTTGCCAAGGGCTGGGTAGTTTTGAGAGAATTACAAGTTATGCACAATTTTTTTTATTTTATTAATTTGGTTCTTCTCTTTCGAAGTTTCTAGTGAGTACATCTGGTGGCAACAGTCACGAAAATAATAATGATAAAAAATAACACTCGGCGACCTATAGTTTTATTAGAGAATATCAAAACTGATTTTTCTTTATAAGCGGGGAGAAGTTGTCCGTAGACGAACTTGATATTGCTAATCTTGACATTGCCGTGTTGTACACATGAAGAATTTCGGCATCTCGAGGAGTGATAAAGGACTCTTGTTCGTCGGAGCTACCACTACTTTGTATATTCACTGCACTTAGGGTCCAGGCTGGATCTTGAGGACTCGTGAGGATCGTCTTAGGCATTGCTGCAAAACCTGGACTCGACTCAGCGTAGTGTATAGTCTTCAGAGGCTGTCTGTCACAAACAAATATTTTTAATTTTTATTTATTTATGTTGCTTAGCCTTGTAATCAAATTAAAACTTCATTTATTACTCACAGAGAAGATAAAGTGAACATATAATGAATGTTGTGTACTGTCATGAAACACTTATAAGTTTTCAGCCCGTACCTCCTCAGAAAATATATTTCTACAGTTTTAAGCATACCTTAACTTGTACGTTTTTTCAGCAGCATGTGTTTTTGTACATTCCTCTTCAGGAGCAAACAGTACGTGTAGAATTCGTATATGCTTTATGTTTTTTACGACAGGGTGAACATATAGCTAATGGAAGATAAAAGAAAAGTAATAAAAAATACCCTATAAGAAAGTTGTGTGTTTTATTCTTACGTGAGCCTATCGGCACAGATATATCAAACAACTGAGACACCTCCTTGGCCATGGTAGGGTTGATCACGTCACGACTTTTGACGCTAGTAGGTGGTCCTTTGTGCCCTGAATACTGACACAGCTTTGAAGGTCTCCAGTACTTGCCCATACCATGGCGATGGCGAGCACAAACAGGTAATGTTTTCACTTCTTCATGAGACAAACGGTCGAGGCCAGCCCTTTGCAGGATGACCTCGTATTCTTTCAGGTTTGCTAGTGACAAAAAACCAATTTTTTAGATGTGTAGTTACATCATCTCGACATTCATACAGAAACACTGTCTCCGTGCGACCACGTGAGGATCCGCAGTCCAGGAGACCCTCTTTTGACAAAGAACAGGCATCCGCCAGGATTACTTGGTTGTTTCTATTTTTACGTCCGCTAACCCTTGTAAGCGCTGACCCGTAACGTCTGTTGGAATGTAACGAAATACATGCAGCCCACCAAAGTACTAAATGGACACTATCTGAGGTTAATTTTCACCTGAATTCATCATCATTCATGGCAAGAATATAAAACTGTTTCACTTAAGGATTTCTGGCGGCGGAAGAGTTTTTTTTTTTTACTTATATTTTACGTATTTGCTTGGTTTCCGTTGTTATTTGGAGAAATGAGTGCTGTCACGCGATAACATTTTCAAGATTCAACACTTCAGCAGATGGTAAATGTAAATTATTTTCTTTTTCTACCTGTTTTTCATCTTCCTTTCTATTTTAACACCAGGATAGTATTTGAGCGCCTAGCAAGGTTTAAAGTGACATTTACCACGCTATCCATGTACTTATTGACAACAGAGAAGTGTTTCATCGAAGTAGCTACATAACGGTAAACACTGCAACTTTGAACGCTTCTTACAAGGTCAATATACTTTGGCCGAAAGATGTTTTTCCAGAAACGTAATGAATATCCTTCTACTTTCTGATTCATCACTATGATTGCTTTCAACAGCGTTGGATTTTGTAGAAATAGTTATTTAAAATCATCTCCAACGCTCTATCCAATTTGATATGCAATATTGGAAAAAGTTATTTTTCATTCGCTTGTGCAGTTTTTCGATATTTATCGAATGATAGTGCATTAAAAGGCCTTTTTCTTCATAACTGTGTAGTTTTCTCATTATTTTGTGTTGCGATAGTGATTTTTGAACCGGTTTTTGAAAGGGCATATTTTGGGACAGATTTTGTTGCCATCAAACGTAACAAGTTTGCGGCTCGATATTTTTGGTTTAAAGCGAAACTGAAGCAAAAGAAATACATTTTTAAATAGTATTAGGTAACCTCTAATTGGAAGATAAAAATCGGCCGATTTTAATTTTTAGCCAGAAATCATCGGTCGTTTCTTAGGCGCAGGGGCTCTTAAAGGTTCACGATCGTTAGTTTTAACAGCACCTCTTAGTTTCGTTGAAGTCACCGTTTTGTCTGACCAAAGTTTAGTGAGGGTGGTATCTATTTATATGAAAAGTTTTTGTCTTCAAGTTCTCATTCCAATTAACAGGACATTAATGCAAATATGTGTGGGCAAACTAGACACATTAAGCAATAGTAACGTTAAAAATAAAGTATTGCTCTCGTCCCACAATATAACAATATCGACTTCCCATTGAATTAAAACAAAAGATGATATAAAGAAGCAGGGATTTTAACTTGCAATTATGATAATTGCAAGTTTTCCTTTTTTTCTTCAGACCGGTTTTTTTTTTTTGCTGAGAGCAAAATAACTCGTAGCTTAGAACATGTAATCACAAGTTATGCTCATTGCTTTGTTTAATTTTTTCCTCAAAGTTAAAGTTTGATTATTGGTTGTAAAAATACCCACAAAGAACACTTAAGAATAATTACAAATATATATTCTGCTTAGAGTATTACAGAGATTTCCGTAACAAGAGGCCTCTAAGCCTTCCTCTTGAGCAAAAAAAAAAAAAAAAAAAAAAAAAAAACTGACCTTTGGGGGATTTAAAACAAAAACAACCACAGACAATTGTGGTCGGTCGGCTTGTTTGATACTGCAGATAGTTCTAATCACAATTTTCCAGATATAATTAACTATAACTTTGGCGGTGGTAAAACTTGCACATCTTGCAGCCTACCTTTTTTTTTCTTTTTGACCTCAATAAGCTCATAAATTTGCATGCTACGGTTATTTTCCCTTTATTCTTGGTTGGTCATTCAAAACGTTAACTATCAGGCATGCAAGAGTGTCTGTTTTGCATTACGCAACAGCAAGGTTAAAATCTTTGTGAGCTCAATATAAAAACAAGCAATTCTTCTTAATACGATGTCATTATCAAATATCTCTCCTTTCTTACCGTGTCAAATCAGGAATAATCCACAGCTACGTAATCTAGAGGAGAGAAAGAGGTTTTTTTTATTATCATTTGCGAGTAAGTGACTATGAGATGGAAAGAACCTCCCAGAGAATCGATAGCTAAATGGTGGAATAGAAAATTTTGATGTAAAGTTTGTGATAATCCAATAGGGTCGCTATACGAAGCTGGTTTGTCAAATAACTGGTTTCATGGAGACGTATATTTAATAATTACTCATCGCAATGGACTTTAAATTTTTTTTAAGTATATACCACACAGACACCAAGCATTAGTTTATCTCTTTCAATATCACCAAAAATGATCGGAAATTAAAGTCTTTAGCGCAATTTTGTCTCAAAGGCTGCTCGGCGGTGAATAATACTAGCTATTAACTTCCGAATTAGCAAATCAGCGCCGCGAAAAGCGCTATTTACCTGCGTGGCGCATACTAACTTAGTTTAATAGATGGAGCCGGTGTCACAGTGGATTTGGGCCCCACTCGGTCCAAATCCGCTAGCGGATATGGACCCCCCTTCGCAGATTTGGACCCCCCTAACTAACTTTCCTTTTAAGCATCCTTTGTATCATACTTAGTTACCAATTCTATTTGCAAGCTTTTTTGTCGATGTTCTTTTCAATCACAACACAACATTTCCTCAATAATGGTAAAAGTGGAGACTATTACATCGAACTCAATCTTATTTTCTAATTTTAACGATTACTAACTGTTGAGGGATCTGAAATAACACCTTAACAATTACGAAGACGTCTAGAGTCTGGCAATCTGCAGACAATGCAGAGCCACTCGCCCTCCGAGGCAGTCTTAAATCCCTCGCAGCTCATGTGTAACCTTTCCTCGCACAACTCGCACTGTACCATGCCGTCCTACACTCGGGCATTGAACAATGACAAAATAAATAAGTGTCACAAGTTTGTCTCTTATTGAATCTAGCGGTGCTCGGCTATCGTGGAAAAGGTTCAAAAACGACCTCTCTTCAGACATGAAACTAAATTCTTGCCCATTTTCCCTTCGCCAAAAGAAACATCCGACGGGATGCCAGTTCGAATGCATTAACGATACGAATGTTTTGAATCAAAAACATACTTTAGTACGCACTGGAACGTAAAGTATTATCAATTTTTACGAGAACGGATGTAAGGATGATGTTTTCACTCGGTTTCGTAGGGGGGGGGGGG